AGGCCAACAGGGAGAAGATGACCCAGATCATGTTTGAGACCTTCAACGTCCCTGCCATGTATGTGGCTATTCAGGCTGTGCTGTCCTTGTACGCCTCTGGCCGTACCACTGGTGAGTCTAAAATTAAAGACGGCCTGTGCAACATCACAGGCCGATAAAAATGCACTCTTTAGGTGTTGTCTTCTGACAAACTGCTGCTTTTCATGGACAGGTATTGTGCTGGACTCTGGTGATGGTGTGACCCACAATGTGCCCATCTATGAGGGTTACGCTCTGCCCCACGCCATCATGCGTCTGGATCTGGCTGGTCGCGACCTGACTGACTACCTGATGAAGATCCTGACAGAGCGTGGCTACTCCTTCGTCACAACTGGTAAGTAGGCCCCAACAACTAACTGGAAACACAAATGGGATGACTTTATGGTCAAGGTGGAGCTAATTTAAAATTTATACCCTACAGTCTCATTTTATTAGTCTACTTTTTTAATAAATGACATATTCACTTTAAACATGAAAAGACAGGTGAGAATAAAGAAATGCTGAGCCTCATTTACTTCCAGTTTCCAGAAATTAACACATTAAGCTGTTTGTTGATTAATCCGGTTGTTATCATGTGAGACTTGTCGACTGAACTGTGAATTTTTCCGTCCTCCAGCTGAGCGTGAGATCGTGCGTGACATCAAGGAGAAGCTGTGCTACGTCGCCCTGGACTTTGAGAACGAGATGGCCACCGCCGCCTCCTCCTCCTCCCTGGAGAAGAGCTACGAGCTGCCCGACGGTCAGGTCATCACCATCGGCAACGAGCGTTTCCGCTGCCCCGAGACTCTGTTCCAGCCTTCCTTCATCGGTGAGTCCTGACAGCTGACCCAACACCCAGGAGCTGGGAACACCACAGCGATCAGGTTTCATGTGTGCAGTGACTTTACTCCGCCTAGTGGCCAAAGGGAGATTTCCCCTCTTTCCTAAACTAATTACTATTTGACATAATACTTTTGACAATAACAATAACTATTTTTTCCCCAAAAACAATGTATAAAGTGATTAAGCTGACAAAATCATTTGGTCTAAAATTATGATTAAAATAAAGCATAGATAAAAGAAAAAAGTAGCCTAATCTACTATGCTACATGCAACAACATTTTTGATATTTCAGTTTCCTCATTACATTTACTGCCACACCGCCTTTAGTATGTAAACATTTAATAAATGGTTTATAACAAACTGCACTGTAGCTGTAAGCACATATAAGTGTTTATTAATCTATTTGTCATCAACTCCTGTGGACAGTGGAGACAGGTGTATGAACAGGTAACTTTTAAAATAATAATAATAATATATGAATAAATGACTGATAATATAGCAAAACATAGTTGAAATAAAATAATATTAATAAGAATAATCATATATATGTCTTCATTAGAGAAGGTGTTATTGTTGATAAATACTGTACACTAATTAAAGCTTAAAATAAAATTAAATGTTTAAATAATGCTTACAAATGTTAAATAGGGTGGTTAAAGTAAAGCCATTTTTATTCAATGACTTTCTGTTAAATGATGTAATTTAATTTAGTATAATTGTTTTTAATTATTGTATCTCCTATTAGCTTTAAATTACTTTATTGTAAAACACTCTGTGTCTTTGTTTTAGAAAAGCGCTGTAGAAGTATAAGTATAAAGTAAAGTATAGTATAAGTATAAAGTTACTATTACTTTTATTACTATCATTATATTATTATTTCTGTAATTATTTCCCTATTAGCTTGCTTACTGTCAACCACATGAACTCATCTTATTCATCTAACCTGCCCAGGTATGGAGTCTGCTGGTATCCATGAGACTGCATACAACAGCATCATGAAGTGCGACATTGACATCCGTAAGGACCTGTACGCCAACAATGTGCTGTCCGGTGGTACCACCATGTACCCTGGTATTGCTGACCGTATGCAGAAGGAGATCACCGCCCTGGCCCCCAGCACCATGAAAATCAAGGTGAGCCCTTATCGACCAGCACTAACTGGTTAAACCCAGGTCACAGGAAGTTCAGAATGTCATTCAAAATGTTCTCGTACCAACCGTCTGCTCCTCCTCTCCCCTTCCTGCAGATCATCGCTCCCCCTGAGAGGAAATACTCTGTCTGGATCGGCGGCTCCATCCTGGCCTCCCTGTCCACCTTCCAGCAGATGTGGATCAGCAAGCAAGAGTACGATGAGGCTGGCCCCTCAATCGTCCACAGGAAGTGCTTCTAATTCTCCAACCAGCACAAAAAAAACAAAAACAACACCAACTGCCCCAGCTCTCCTTCCATCTGTATTTCTACTCTGCCTTTTGCTGTATATACATGTACCCTTGTAATAAAAATAGTTGCTTTTAACAGTAACAGTCTGGAGTCCTGGAGTCTCAATATACAGCATAAATCATATTTAAAGGCAACCGGCAACATTTAAAGTATGAACACTGTCCTTTTGGTGACACCTCTCACACATTAAGTTGTTAATACCACAAGCTGGAGTTTTGACCCAGCATTCTCTTCTCTGTGAAATTGAAATTAGAAATAAATTAAAAATACTCTATACTTAACAGTAAAATATGTGAATTTCCTCAAGACATCATGAGTTTTTAGCTTAAGACCATGTGAGACTGAAAAAGCATATTTTAATTGTTTGCCTAACAAAGGCAGGCTACATATGAGGAATAAATAATAATAATAATAAAATTATTTTCCTTTATTTAAAAGGCTGGAATTAAATCATACTTCAATAGTAAAACATCACACACATAAAGTTGTTTTAAATGCTTAAAGTGTCACTGTAGTTTTAAGACTTTAAAGGGTAATTTTAGTATTTTTTAAAACCTGGGCCCTGTTTCCACATATTTTGTGTCAAAATGACTAAGAAGTTTTGGAATCTGTGCAGCAGATAACTTCAGCCAATGCAGCAATGAACTAGCTGCATTAGCTGTCTCATTCAAGGATAATTCTCGTGAGAGGCAAGTTGTTGCAGGAAGACGACAGTGGAAACGTGAGTCAGAGTTGGAGAGAGGAGTTTATTGTGTTGGAATAACGTTAGGAAATAAAGTCTAGCTAGCAGTTCTTCAGTGTACACAAAAATGTCCTCTCCCTCGTTTCCACCAGCTTCTTCCTGCAACAACTCGCATCTCGCATGATTTCAGAGTGAAAATTGTCCATGAGTGTTAAAAACAAAGGGTGTCACCAGGAGTCACTTGTAGGGATCCTTTCCTTGATGTTGCCAGACATCTGGTATAACTGAGCCTACAGAAATGATCCTTTCAGGCTGCTTTTCCTTTTTGAACAATGGGAAAGCAATTTCTGGGCATGGGCCACAATAAACAGAAAATTATGCATTTGAGGATTTAATGGGGTAGTTACTTTTTAGCTTTAGTTTTACCACAAAAGTCCACTCAAAAGTGGTTCACTGAACAGATTACTTTTATGATGCTTGAGATTGTTTATTTTGTCTTTTATTATATTATTCCCAATCTACAATAGTGTGAGAAATCAAATCCATCACCCGTGGTGGAGGAAGTATTCAGATCCTTTGCTTAAGTTCTAATAGCAATCTGTGAAAATACTTCACTACAAGTAAAAGTCCTGCATTCAAAACCTTAAGTAAAAGTAACAAGTAATATCAGCTTAAGTCTCAAAAGTAAAAATACTCATTCTGCAGAAAAATGGTCACAGTCAGTGTTTTACTATCATATATGATGTTTCTGGATTAACATCATGTATGTGTTGTATTTTTATGCTGTAAGGTTGAGCTAATTTGAGCTTTTTTATATACTGTCGGGTAGTTTAATCTACAGTAGTGATGTGTGATAGGCCCTACCACTTTATTCCTATGTGATCCAGTACTAAGTAATACCCAGGCTTGTACTGCCTACCGATACCAATACTAATACTTTTTACATATTTTATTTCTAGTTTAATGTGACCTCCCTCTCCCCTCCTGTTTCTGTATTTTGTGAGGGAAATAAGGAGGAGGCTGCAGGTTTACCAATTCCAAATAATAGCTGCATAATGGCAAGACATCAAACTACTGTCATAGTATTTAATTATAATAAAAATATCCTTCTCAGAACCGTCACTTCATAACATCATATTATTGTGACTTAATCTCAGATGTTTAGCGAAGTTTGCGGCGTTGCCAAAGTATTTCACTGTCTTTGCACACACATCACACACAGCGGCATTATTATGTAAAGTCAGCCATAGACAGTATTCAATCCTGCGAAACGTAAAGGACTGCAGCGGCTCACTTCAAAGAAGCTCCGCTTTGTCACAGAGCCATAGCACAAGCATAACTTTGACAGGTGGAAGGAGAAGTAGTTCCTATGAACCAACTATAATTAGACCGTCCTGGTGACAGTAAGATACTTTATATATCGATCCTTTTATTGATCCTACAGAAAGAATCGTTGGCATCAGAAATATCGATAATGATCTTCACTAATCTACAGCCAAACATCATGGTCTATAAGCTCATCATATGTTTGTAGCATTGCTGTCCTGTGAGAACCAGGTATCCCTAAAAAGTGTGTTGATGCATTTTCCAGCTGTTCCAGGACAGTTTTAAATAGTTTATTTAACTCAGCTTAAGGAGTAAGATAATTTTCTCAACACATAAAGTAACTTATCACATAAATTTTAACACTAAATTTGGAGATATATAGTTTTCACTAGTCAAGGTATGAAAAATTGTAATCTGAAAAGTAACTAGTAACTAAAGCCATCAGTAAAAACTTTAATATTTGCCTTTGAGATGCAAAAGTTAAAATGAAAATAATCATGTGAAGTATAAGTACCTTGAATTTGAACGTAAGGACAGTAATTGTATTGCTGAAGCTGAAGTGATAGTTGGTATATAGTTGAAAGCTCATATTTACCACCTTCCCTGTTTGAACCTGAACACAGCACTTTTCCTTCCTTGTCACCTTTGCCACAGGTGATATGGATGAGCATAATAAAGCCTGACTCTTTCATTCACCAGTGAATATACTAAGTGAGTAACAGAGATTGTAGTGTCACAGTCAAAATTGTGTAGTTTTGGACTTGGACACATTTGGATATTTAAAGCATGAAGGTTACAAACAGTAATGTAATTCAGTTTCACCTTGAAGTTATTTATGGGATAACTGTGAAGAGCTTTGAGAAGAAAAAGGAGAGGCTGGTCATCGGTGTTTCAAAGGTCTTTGGGGTTCCTCTGGAAAATGTACCCAGGCAATACATTCCTGAGTTTGGACTGGTGCCCTGGTGAGTAGCAGGATTAGGATGTTTGTCAAATAAAATCTGTCAGACTGATCCTTTTTCTTTTTGAACAACAGCTTTTTGGTGGATGCTTGTTCATTTCTTCTGGAGCGTGCTAGGACTGTAGGCCTGTTCAGAAAACCGGGCTCTCTTCCTCGCATTAAGACCCTCAAGGTGAGATTTTAACATTTTGTAGATGTTAAATATCATTTCTACTCTGGTAATATCGCCATCTGGTGGTTAGAGCCAACACTAATCTGTCAGCTGTGTCTCAATTAGATTTGTGACTAAACAAGTTATGTGATGCTGCATGTAGCCTATGGTGTTAATGATGTGACCTTTTTTTATTCTGGCAAGATAAAGATAGTGTCGCATTTTTCTGTGTCTGTTACAGGACAAGCTGAATTGTCAAGAGGGGTGTCTATCCACAGCCCACCCCTACGACGTGGCAACTCTAATCAAACAGTTTTGCAGGGAGCTGCCGGAGCCTTTGTTTCCCACAGAGCTCCACACAGCTCTACTTGAAGCCCAGGCGCTGCCCAACCTGCAGGACAGGACTTCAGCCCTTCAGCTGCTGTCCTGTTTGCTACCTGCCAGAAACTTCTCCTGTCTGCATTACCTGTTTGACTTTCTCTGCAAAGTCTCCCAGAGGTTTGAAAGAATATAACATGGGGAAATTAAAACCTTGTAGATAAAGAGTTCAGGGCACATGACAGTACTTCAGTCTGCACTGGAGGAAGCTCTAACCAGAATCGGGCTGACGTAAAGTTTGCTTCACCATGCACCAGTGTGTTTATATAAAGCTGAACTTGATTTGATTTTGGCATTGGATCTGCTGTTAGTCAAATAGATAACACCAATGTTTAAGTTCTGAAACTAACAGTCACTGAAGCTATGCTCATCTGTCAGGTGTTGTCAGCCTGTGGTCCTCAACACTTGTGCCCAAACTGAACAATGGTGTACCTTTTTACCTGACGCATATCTGCAGCAAAGTGAGAATTTTAAACACTAAATGTCAGATTTAAAGCTGCCATCTGGGCGACAAGCTGGACTCTATTGCTTTATTTTTGCCATTTTAATGTCCTGTTAGTCAGTTTTATGTGGCCCAAAATCAGCAAAATCAAGTTTAACTTACAGGGCTTTACAAAAATCACCATCAACATACAACTTCGCTGATCAATCCAGATGAAGGGAAAACTCCAAAAAAGAAGCCACTGTTTCTAGGTTACCTTATCGGCTAGGTGAAAAGAGCACCACAGTCATACTTGTTGTTTCTAGTTGGGCAAAATCTGTATGGCAGGTTATGACAGAACAACAGTCCGTTGGCCCTTGTCTGATTAAAGAAGAAAAGCAGTAGGCAGTGACGTCTCTTACTCCGTCATAATCATGGCATTTATAGGCCTATTCTGGGGTCGGGATGTTAAATAGGCTACAATTAGTTTAATTTTACACTTAAACAGCAAGGTAACTGTAACTACACTTGAGTAACTTGCATTAGTATTGCATGTTCACACAAGTGGTTGCCTACCATTTGTCTGCTTGTAACCCCTCACTGCCATTTTCCCCTTTTACAGAATAAGCTAAAAGTACAGGATGTTCTTCTGACATGATTTTACTAATGTTCCAGTGGCAGGATGAGCACATGCTAATGATTTTATTTCATGTGTTTTTGTCCTGCTGTCAGATGCACTGACAACTTGATGACCAGCTCCAACCTCGCTACAGTCTTCGCTCCGTGTCTTTTGCCGCCTCCCAACAAGGCAGAGATGTCTGAAGGGAGACTTGAACTCAGAGTTCTTGTCCTGCGCACATTCATCGAAAATCCTGACTTATTCGGTAATAAACCAAGCTTTCTGTCTAGGCACTGTTTAATTAAGGGTATTTGAACAGACTGGATATCTGCAATTATTTTGGTAGGTGTGATTCCTAAAGCTGTAATGGACAGTATGGAGTTTCTGATGAATTTCCATCTTCTAAAAGATGAAAAGAGAAGGCCAAAAAAAAGACACAGTTTCAAAGGTAAAAAAAGATGTAAGCCATTGGAAACGTTGTGCTACTAAAATAGATCTGTGTCATTGGCTTCTTTTCAACTTAAGGCCTTCTGTGTGCTTTAATGTTTTTTTTTATTTTTTATTTTTTTTTCAAATACTCAAAGTAATGCAGTCTGGTAAGACAGCCTCCTGGATTCAAGGAAGGTCAAAGGTCAGGCCTACAGTCTCTGAGCAGAACCAAGGGTCCATCTCAGGAGAGAGAAAATCGCTCAGGAGGAGCCTCGGCCTGGAGACTTTCCCTAATGTCCAGCTCTTTAGGACCTTTATGCCTTTTGCAGGTAAACACAATGTCAAACAAGTTCTGATGGATGAGAATTTTTAATTTTTTACTGAATGCAATGATAAAAAAAATTGTTTCAGACCAAACTCTCAAACCTGCAACGGTTTTATTGGACAGTCCCCCCAAACATGCATGCAAGACCCTGCAAGAGAGACTAAAAAGGTAAATTATAAAAGCTTGTTAATTTCACAGGATTTCTTTAGTGTCAAACCAACTGAGTAATTAGATAGCCCTGAAATTGGTGATTTAAGACTGAGAATGTTTTTTACAAAATGTGAAATCTAGCATTTTGAGAACTAACTGGAGAGACTGTAGGGAGATGATGCAGTTTTGTTTTTTGTGCTTTTTTGAGTATATAGTATCATAAGCTGATTGGTGAACGATGACAGAATTGTACAAGTACTTTGAACTTTGTATTGACTGTATGTATAAAAAAAAAAAATACAATAAACTTCTAAATGTAATACACATAATCTGATGATTCTTTGGTTTGTGTGTCTTCTTTGTTTTAAGAGATCTGCATTTGGGTCATTACTCGAGATCCTCCAAAGGACCAGATGCAGGCAGCTCTCCTGTTCTCATTGGTGTCGGGAAACTAGCATTGTGGAGAAGATCCACTTCACTATATTATAAATATTAAGAAGCTGCCATGTGGGTGGCCCCACATTACTGCAGAATTTTATGATCCGGTGATGCCTGACAGCCCAGTTTATTTAAAGTTGTCTTAGAGCAGTTTAGAGTCTTTAGATATCTTAAGTTACATTTTAACATTCTACGTTTTAATTAATTTATGCATTTGACTACTTCACACAAGGACTGCTGGATTTACGTTTCACAATACTTTTTTCAAATGAATAAATGTGTTTGTTTTTTTTTACTTACTACTTGATACTTCATTCTTTAAATATATGTAGAAGCATTTTAAAGTGCATATCTGTGGAGGTTTAAGAACAAAACAGTTTGGACATGCAGCAATTTACTGACCACAGAGCTTCATTAAAGCAATCCACATGAGTTAAACAAATCAGTTAAAACATATTATTTAAACCCCGAAATAAGCCCAAATCCAATGATAGAGAATTATGATTGAAATGAAATAATGGGCAACATATTACATCACCATCAGAGGTCACAAGTGGCCATACGAAGCTTCTGAGCAATACAGGATGAAGGAAGAAAAAATATATACAAAAATAAACCGATACAGCTAGATATAGCTACTCAGCAAAAAATGTCCCCTCACAACTGCTCTTATTTTCAGAAAAGTCAATGTGTTAATATTTGTATGAACATAAAAAGATTCAACAACTGAGACATAAATTGAACAAAGTTTCACAGACGTGTGAGAAACAGAAATGGAAAAATGTGTCTCTGAACCAAGGGGGGCTCAAAATCTAAAGTAACAATCAATATCTGGTGTGGCCCTGTAGTCCTGTGCAGGTGTTGTGTATGTGGCCAATTGTGCCACTGCGAGGACGATTAGCTCTCCTTCCTGCCTCCCTGTAGTGCTTTCTTAGGCATCTCACAGTACAAACATAGCATTTTATTGCCCTGGCAACATCGGCAGTCCTAATGCCTCCTTGCAGCATACAAAAGGCATGTTCACACAAATGAGCAGGGACCCTGAGCATCTTTCCATTGGTGTTTTTCCAGATTTACTAGAAAGGCCTCTTTAGTGTTCTTAGTTTTTATAACTGTGACCTTAATTGCCTACCAACCATATGCTGTTAGGATCTTAACGACAATTCCACAGGTGCATATTCGTTGATTGTTTATGGGACATTGAACAAGTATGAAAAACACTGTTTACACCCTTTACAATAAAGATTTGTAAAGTTGTTTGGATTTTTACAGAATTATCTTTAAATCTAGTGTCCTGAAAAGGGGATATTTATTTTATTGCTGTGTTTATATAGAGGTAGATATTTAAATATAGGATATATAGAGGAATAAATATAGAAATAAAATATTGGATAAAACTGGATTTGTCTTTTACGTTTTGTATTGGCCTGTATGCATTCAACACGCCTTTCTTTCCCGACACCTGTGATTATTCTCAGTGCTCTGCTGTTTTTGTGTCTTATACAAATAACTGTCAGCCAATGAAAAGGGAGGATTTTTTTTTGTATCTTAGCAACTGCATCTGAACCATGACGTGAGGCGGAGCGCATCCCCCCGCAAGGTTGCATAATGCTTTTCCTTCAAAATAAAGTAGGAGAAAAATGAACCGGGGAAAACAAAGCGTTCGGGCCAATGATTTTAGAACAACAATGAAGCATTCAAATCTAAATTCATGCAAAACCAACTTAAATGAATGAATGAAGAATTAATTTGCGAAAAACAGATTTTTAAATCTCCTTTTACACCGTGTTTGTGAGGCAAGCTTTTAATCTGGAAACCGGAAATTCGAGTTTGTATTTTGGACAACTTGACAGAGGTCTTGCGAAGTAGGCAAGTCCCATCAGCGCTGATACGGTAAGAAAAAAATACATCGAAATTCCTTGTTGTTATCTGAGATGTTTTCTAGTAATAAAATTATACACGTCATCAAATAAATTTAATTAAATGCAGCTGGTATACATTTCTGTTTGATAGCCATATCATCCTAGGCTATTTATAGACTATTTACATCGGCCTAACTGCCTCTGTTTACAGAGCACCCAAGGCTTTATTCCATTCAGGATGTCTATTACTGTTTCAATTAGCCATAATAAGAGATAGCTAACGTTAAAAATCCTTCGCAATCTATCCTTAGGCTATTATGTGCTCTTTTTTGTAATTACCCAACCATGTCTTAATAGGATACAGCATATGTGTTACACGCCTAAATCGATTGTTTTCTTCCCCGCAGATGACAGAAATGGGCTCGGCGGTGCGGTTATCGTTGCTCGGCCTCTTCCTGTGCACGCAGCTCGGCAGGGCTCCAGCCCGCAGTCCCCGCACGGCGGACCAGGTGTCTGAGGCCGACATCCAGCGGCTCCTGCACGGCGTCATGGAGCAGCTGGGCATCGCTCGGCCCAGGGTGGAGTATCCCGCCCACCAGGCCACCAACATTGTCGGGCCTCAGAGCATACAGGGTAGGCTGTGTTGAGTCTATTTCTAAACGTGAGAGTCTTTTACATTAACAGTCGACGAGCCAATTGAAACGGACATTCCCAGGGAGATGTGGATGTGGTCTTTCTGTAACTACTTAGGCCTACTTTTTCAACACACACAAACACAAATTCCTTATAGCCTACCGCAGACAAAGCATGTAGGCTAGACAACAAAACAAGGAGACAAATACTAATGTAAATTTACAAATTTAATTATAATTGCTTCAGATGAGGTTTAATCCTCTGCTGAAACAATTATTAAAAACCCAAACCTTTCGAGAACTATCTTTGAACACAATATTGTCATATATGACAAAATTGTAAAGGCTTCATTGATGCCTGTGCTTGTATCATGAAGCTTTTTTTTTCTAGCTGGTGGTGCTTCTGGTTGATGTTCTTGTGGTGATTGTAGTGCTTGTTTTCCTCCACAAGGTGGTGCTCACGAGGGGTTGCAGCACCTCGGTCCCCTTGGCAACATCCCCAACATCGTGGCAGAGCTGACAGGCGACAATGTTCCCAAAGACTTCAGCGATGACCACGGCTACCCAGACCCTCCAAACCCCTGCCCCCTGGGAAAGACAGGTTGACGCTCTTGTTCTGAACACATTGTTTATAAACACACTAATGTCTCAGTGTGAAAATCAGGGCAAATGTCGCCTTTAATGCTGCCACAGTGCCAATTCTTTCCATTCTTTTTTGGAAGTGACAAGGCAAAATAACCCCTTTCTGATTTATTTCTGGTGTTTTCTGCAACCCTGATGAACAGTTAAGATGATGCGTTCTCTTCTTCTTCTTCTCTGTCTGCTCTTCCTCACATTCACAGCAGCAGATGGCTGTTTGGAAAATGCTCCTGACACAGCTGAGTTCAGCAGAGAGTTTCAAAAACACCAGCACCTATTTGACCCAGAGCACGACTACCCAGCCCTGGCGAAGTGGGTGAGTACAGAGTAGGATTGGAACTAATAATTATTAGTATCATCACAGATCAGTGATAAGTTTAACTACAGTTTCAAATGGCTTCTTTTGTCCAAACAACACTCCAACACCCAAAGATATTCAAGTTACAATGATATAAAGGATAGTGAAATATTATGAGTGATATTATTGTGCAGAAATACCTCATTAACATTCTCCCCTTTTTCAAACGCACATAAAGTAAGCCTTCAGCAACTACATGAGACACAATATCAGGTGCATACCACAACAATTGTAGCATTAATATCTCATCACATTTAGAGTTTAAATGCCTTATTGTAAGTTAAGAGTGTGTTTTAGTGCTATACAACAAGTGTAGCGTAGTGTAGAGAAATCCTCTCGTCTTTTTCTCTCTGAATGTTTGGAACATGCTGTCACAGCTTTGGTTTCTCATGCTGGCGACTTCTTCAAAACAAAATGAACACAAGGCTTTTGCCATTTCAAAGTTCAAACAAAACATATTTTTTGGTAGGTCTGGCCTTCAGAAATCATTCATTCACCTTTCATTGTTTTTATTCCCTGAAAAGGCATTCAGGCAATTTGTTGACTGTAATTTAGGAACAAAGGAACTGGCTGTAAAACAACAGATACACGATTTAATGTCTGAAAACTGTTTTTTCTGCGTGTCCTTTCAGAACAAGGAGCTTTTGTACCAAAAACTGAAAGGAGGCCCGAAAAGGAGAAAAAGGGTATAGTGTTTTTTTCCCCTCTTCTTTTGTAGTGTTATTTCTGAGAAACCACATCACAAGCACTGAAGAGAGAGAAGTACTCACTGCTTTACATGTGAAGGGATATTTTCTGAACCTTACTTCGAAACTCACATTTTTATTCAGATTTATATCTATATGGTCAGACGTTAAGTATTTACGTACATGTTTACAGTGTGTATAGCGATATTTTTCTTTCTGCCTCCCTGCAGAGTGTCAACCCGTATTTAAAGGGCCAGAGGTTGGACAATGTGGTCGCCAAAAAATCTGTTCCTCACTTCTCTGAGGAAGAGGAGGAAGAGGCACCGACCGCCTCTGCTGCCAGCAAATCCACAACCTAAACTCCTGCACCTGCAACACCGACTGTAATATTAAAGCGTACTCTTGGTTTTTAACTCTACATATTTAAGCATTTTGGTTGACAAGCAATGGGATTGTGACTTCAGTGCAAGTACTGAAAAATAAGAACGATTTTTGAAGTTGTTCACACTTTTTTATTGTAATGCAGAAATATTAATTGGCCCAGATCCTGTTCAATAATTAGCCACAACATCTGTCTCACAACTTTTGCTCTTATTTTTAACATATGGGCTTGAATGGTAGACCGTAACAGTACATCTTCCCATGATAAAGCATTACGATCCGAGAGCTTGGTCCATGGAAACAACATTTTATGGCCTTGTTGACAATCTGTGACCCTCATCTGTCATCATGGGGAGTAAATTTTAGCTCATGATAAAAAACAAAATGCAAAATCTCAACACACTGTTATTACTCTGAAGTTAGAAAGATTATCTTGGAGAGAAAATATCTACATCCTAATAAATTTCTTTGAGCATTAATGCTTACACCTTCGAGTGTGATACAGAAATTGGAAAGAGCTCTGACTGAAAAAGGTCTGGCGGACCTTCTGTGTTGTACAGTGTTAACTTCAATAGTGAGCCAAATATTATAGTTTAAATATCTGGTAAGAATATTCAGGATTTAAGCCATTTATAGGGGATATAAATGTTTCTTATACCAACCAATTTTAAAGCATGTATAGAGCCACAGTTCCAGAGATTCAACCATTTAACCCAAAATGCTAAAATACAATGTGTTAAGAACTTGTCTGGCAGTGTATAGGATATCTACAACTGTATTATAAAAAGAAGTTGTATAAAGATATATTAATTTGGAGGAATATTGAATGACAAAGTTATTATTACTCGTGACTGTACAGAGATCATTTTACCCGCACTCTGAAGTTTCTAAAGTTACTTTTTTTTATGTCTCAATATAACCATATAATCACCTCTGTGTCTTGAAGCAAATATTCCATACAGATCATATTCTTAGAAGCCAATTGTAAGTGGTTGTAGCTTTGCTTTGTCATGTAAGGGATGACTGTTAACTAAGTCACTGTAGCATGGCAAATATTGTAAACGTTATTCTGATTAGTATCTATTCACTTCACCACACTGCAGTAATACAGGCAGCAATTAATCTGTCTGGGGTCACTTCATGTTGTTTGTGTTATGTTTTTTGTTCTGTAATGTCAAATAAACGATTTATCTGCATTGACAAAACTTGGAGTTGGATTTTTTCCCCCTCTCAAAAAGATAAGGCAAGGATCAGGGTTTTCTTTGGGGTGGGGAGTGGGGGCGTGTTCTGCTGAAGCTCTGAAGCTCAAAACAGTTTAGAAAACTCCTCAGTGTGTTATTCATAAAGCCACTACAGAGGACGCAGGAACGGAAGGAGAAACACATACTGTAAACTGTCTGACTGGATAAAGTTTTCGTGAGGAGCTGAAATACAAAACACGTAAGTCAGTCTTTATTAAATTAACGTCCTAAATGATCACGTTTGAAAAATAAAACAAGCGCACCGCTTGTTTGGTGCATAATGTGCGCGTAAGAGCTGTGCGTAAAGTTATCACCATCAATGACTGACTTTTGTTCCCCCCTTTCAGTTTCAAAGATGAAGACGCCATCAGTACTGATCTCTGCAGTTTTGGCGCTGCTGCTCAGCCCGCTGAGGAGTACTGCTGCTGTCACCTATCAAGGCGCTTTCCCACATCCAAACAAATACAACCCAAACGAGTCGGATAGATGCCTTCAGCCCGCCATCAGTGGACTAATTTCCCGCGGGAATGGGCCTGTAACCTCGACCGACGAAGTGCTGGAGTCCAGTCAGGAAGCGCTCCACGTCACGGAGCGCCGGTACCTGCGTCTGGATTGGTGCAAGACGCAGCCGCTAAAGCAGACCATCCAGGAGGAGGGCTGCCTGAGCCGCACCATCATCAACCGGTTCTGCTACGGACAGTGCAACTCCTTCTACATCCCGAGGCATAATTACCAGGACGGAGAAGCCTTTCAGTCCTGCTCTGCCTGCAAACCCAAAACCTTCAGCACCATCACTTACACCCTCTTCTGTCCGGGGCAGACCCCCAGCACCAGGAAGAAACGGGTCCAGCGCGTGAAGCTGTGCCGCTGCACAACAGTAGATACGGATTAAATGCAAACTAATGCATCCTGGTCCTCTTCCACTGGAGGAAAAGGGCAGCTTTGTGAAAGAAAAAAAACGGAAAGTGTATTTTGCTTAAAGGACACATGAGAATAAAGTGGGAGGTGAGGAATTTACCTGGGCCATTCTTTAATCAGTAATTTACCACTAATTTTGCTTACAGACATCATACATAAGTGGTTTATTCAGGTGGCACGTTCCTTCTAAGGTGACTTGCTTGTGTTTCAGTTTAAAGCAGACTGGTTTGTAACAACATGCAGGATATTGGCTGTGCAACATGTGTACCTTTTCAGAGTGTGTATATGGACACATCTCCAAAGGACTCAGATGTTTATTGTTTCCACTGTGTGGGATGTGTGAGTTTAATATATGTATCATTTACTGTATAGCTGCTTGTAAATAAAACAGTTTTCAACCTATTACATCACATATTTTCCAGATTAGTGATTTTATTAGTGGTAAAACACTGTAAAGATTAGATTTTACATGTCAGAATCAATGCAAAACCATGCACCAATGCTAACCCTAAGTGCAATATAAGAATCTATACACAGTTGAAGCCATTTCTGATGTCTAAATATTGCACAATTATTATTTTTTAATCTTTTAAATTTAAAGACATTTTTAAGTAGCAAATTATATTACATAAAGTTCTCAGTTGATGAATGCAAGTACATTATGGACATAAGAATATAAAACTAATAAACAAATAAAACTGAAAAACATCGATTGGGTCTCATATTGTCTGATCCAGCTCGGTGAAGATGGCTGTGTGACCGCAGCATTTTTATACCTCCTGAGTTTCTTAAGTTGAAGATATGTTGGCTTCTTTCTGGCGAAGTCGCTCTTTCTGTTGGGAGCAAATTAGGATTATCCTTATAAATAGAGTTGAGAACATTGCAGTCTATTAATGTACTAATGTATGTACTGTCTGAGTAAGAAAATATTTCCTATAGAAACTTATTTTGGCTGTTTAAATACAGCCTAAGGTGGTCTAAGATTTTAATGTGGATCTGCACTGCATGTTCGAGACCTGGTTTACAAAATGTTTCCTTGTGTGTTTTTACCCACAGAAGCAAAATACACAGAGAAGAAAACCCTCTTTGCCTTTTAAGCATATTGACTGTACTGAATCCTGTCTTACCAGGCTGTTGGGGTTGATCTTTCTGGTCTCCACTTTCTTCTCTCCTGTGATCCTGTTCACTGACAGCTGGGCCTCTTTTAATCTGCAAAAACAACGTGTTAAGTTCATTGGTTTAATGGTTTGATAAAACTTTGGCATGTACAGTATATTAAATACAGCATAAATGTAATGAATCAACCAGAAAATTGGTCAAAGTGATCCAATTTAACACAAATAAATTAAGTCAGTTTTAAACTAAAAAGTTTAGTTCAGTCAAACCAAAGACTTCTTCAAGACACAACATAAACCACAATGACATAAGGTAGGGTGTTCCCCTGCAGAGACACAACATAATTTTATCACCAACAGATTAGGGAGCTAATCACTCACGGACAATGACATTTTGTCTGGAATTCATAGTTTGGTGATGAAAAACTTCTTTTCCAGAGATTATTATTATTATTGGAATTGTGAACTGAAACCATTTTTTTGAATTGAATAAATAAAATAGCGGAACTTCAAGAGATGCTCATGCACAGGGCTATCTGATATACCTCTCTTTAGATATGATCTTGTTCTCCCGCTTCCACCTGGCCTTGAAGTCGGCACAAAACTCAAACCAGAGCATGAAAAAATGGCCAGTCGTCACCTCTTTCTCTCCTGACTTGTGCTTCAGTCCAAAGTACAAAGCCAAGTCCTGAAAACTGAACAAGGACAAAAAACCACAATAAAATAACACTAAGGTGTGATTTTATTTCAGTTAATTTGCCACTCAGCTGCTGCTTAAGTTTAACATTCTGCGGCTAGTATACACCACTACTGGTGGCAGTTTAACTGGGAGTGTGTCTCAGTTTGGATAGTTCCATTAGTACACTTACACTTACTTGCTTAATGCGTGAGTTTTGAAAGGGTAGTGTGGTCTCAAATCAAACACTGCCGTTGTGCACTAACTGGAAATGACGATCGCAAGATTTGACTGCTTCTTCTTTTTTAATGGCGAATTGTAACTGGGCAGATCATTGTTGCCACCATTTAGCCGTGATTGTTGCATGCAAAAATATCTGCCCGCTTGTTTGCTCACTTGACTTTAATTAAATTTTATTTCAAAAGAAAAAAGAATGTACTTCTACTTTTACGATCGCAACTGCTGCAGCTTTAAAAATAGTTAAGTTAAAAATACGCTGGTGGTCCCTCCTCTTCCACTATGTAGCCAAGATGGCTGTCCACACCCAACGTTTTGACTCTTATGAGTGCACCATAAGGATACTCATAGTACACTGCATTTTGCCACATTTATCAGTGTGAAGGCACTTAATAGAAAGTGTAAGAATGGAAGACTTGAGATACAACATGACATTGTTACACCATTTTGTTACTGTAAGTCCCTGAACAAGCAAACATTGACATGGCATCTTTTATCTACTCTCCCAAATGCCATTTTATATTAGTAGTGGTAGTAGTTTTATAACAGCTGTTTTGTAATTGTTGTTATGTGTTTGGTTAATAGCTGCTAGCTGAAAGTGATACTGCTAGCTAACCAAGCTAGCAGCCTACTAGCTGCCTGTGTTGCTAATTCTAAGGGACTATTAATTTACAATTGGACTAACAGTAATGTATTTACTTGTACTTACTGTAAGATCTAATTTTGGCAGTGACAGTTTGACTTTTGTGAATCTAATTTCATTGTTACTATAACTTCAATTTTCAAATTAAAATTTTTCAATACCTATGGGTCTAACTCTTGTTTAAGAGTTAATGTAATATGTTTTTGATCTGTAATCTCTATGACTGAATTTGTTGTCTGACACTGTTGCTTCTAGAGTTGTGTCTTAAGCTCACTGCGTAGTTGCACACATTTTGAGGCAGGTAGAAGAAGTCTAGAAAGCATGATATCACAGTTTGCAGTACCTTTGGTGTGTGTGCCCAATTTTGCCCAGCAAAAGTTGTGATGTTGGAAAATATTAATACAATGATGGGGTTCACACTGAATGTAACCAACCTTTTTTGCACAGTCACCAGCTGATAGGAAGTTTCTGCGTGTTCTTTTCGTGCTGCAAAAACAGACAAGGAAGCGGTTTACACTTTGCCAAAAAATAATCCCTATGGAGTCTCAGTTTATATAAATACTTGTAGGCACACAAGAAGTATCTCTTGTATGATGATGACCCTGTCAGATGGAGCCAGACAGCCATTTGGGTCCATTGGGTTCAAAACAGCAATTCCAGTTATTACACAATGGTGCCATTCTTACTGCTACTTTCAAATTGCAAAGCCATTATCACAAAAAAAATAGGCACACTACTACCTGTGTCTGCCTCCCTGTAATGTTGTGGGATTCTGCTTTAGCTTCCAGATCAATGTCCAGCTCAACAAATCACTTCAGTTATCTGAAAGCCAGATTTTTCTTGAAGCAAAATAGATCATTTAACTTTATTCTGGTGCAACTTTGGTGCAACCTATTTATGACATCTATCATATCTTTGTCATTATCTTATAAAAGTTTAATTTCTCTTGTTTACTATAACTGTGATGCTTGTCTTGAAAACATCTTGAACCATATTTAATTTTACACATATTGCATTTTTGGAGGAAAAAATTATGTTTCAGACTAAAGACAAGTAAAGGCTTGAAAAGTGGTCTGTAATGGTTTTTATTTAATATCAAAGTGATACAAGGGACATAAGATCTAACATTAATAAGTCCAGCATGTTCTGGTTAGAGTGTACTCACTACTGCTTTACTTTGAAGCTTTGATGTGTCACATTTTATCATGGGCAGAATAGTGATTTTCAAAACAAGAAATGCATATAGCAATTTAAATGCATCCCTGCTATTTCAAACAGTGCTGTATGGGAAGCTTTTCTCTAATGCAGAATCTCTTGTGACGGGTCAACATAAAAATCTTACAACACTGAATGCCTCAGTTAGTGAATGAATATTTCCCAGTGCCTGTGTGTCTCTGGCAGGAGTCTCCCAGTCATTGCCAAATCTGTCTGATCCGTATCTGAGCGTCTAGCCTTTATTCTAAAATTTATCCTATCTCCCTCACTCACACACACATATTCAGGCCAGCAGCAGGATGAGGCCTACCACACTCTCCTTTTTTCCAGGACATTTTCAGTGATGATCTAGCTGGTATGACTTTCTAAAATGACAGTGGTTCTTAGCCCAAATGCGGTGTAACAGTACAAAAAACTGCATTTGCACGCCACATTTGATTTCAACTTCACAATGAACTTAGTGTATTGATATTGTCAGTGTAATATGGTCAAAAACTGTGAGTATTTCATAGTAGTGTGCAAATATCAAAAGTTAATTGATGATTTAAAGAATAATTCACAATAGGTAATTAGCCTAAATCAAGCCGTGGTATAAATTAGTTTATCACAACATATGTTAGCCCATTTACTAACAAAGTTAATCACAACTGTGAGCTACAGCTAAAGAGTTTCATGTCATGTTACGGTCCATTTTATCGTAACGTAGCATTGCGTTTGGGTTTGAAGAGACAATGCTAGCAAAGTAAAAAAAAGTTTTGGTCACTTGAATTAATGTCATCCAGCCTGTGCTACCATGTGACGTGACTCGGGTGTGTTCACAACGCTGCCGCAACATAACCGAGCAACAGCAACTTAATGTTAAAATAATTTTCCATTTTACTTTTTCTCTCATTTTCCATGTGTTTTCCATGACTGAAAAATTGGTCAAATATTTTCCAGGTTTTCCAAGATGTGTGGGATTTGCATTGCATCTGACTGTTAAAAAACAATAGAATAGTTTAGATGGAGCATATGAAGAAATAAATTGAGGGAGAGTTGACAGGTTCCTCAAAGTGAACTGACAATTGCATGATCATTCTTCAGGAGTTTGCACTGCATTTAAATTAATTTGGTTTCAGAGATCTTAAATTTTGTATTTTTCTTTACCAAGCACTACGTCTCCAGAAAGAAATATACTTTGTTGAACTTAGAAAACTAGTGCTTGAAAGCCTTAAATCTAACCTATAGTCATGTGTTGTTATTGACATGCTTGTATTTTTCTAAACAACTTTCAAGTTTGCTCAGGTTTGCAGCTGCACAATATGTGACTAACTACTCACCGCTGAGAATAAAAGCCTCCATCTTGTCCTTGAACGGCTGCAGGTGTTCTTCAGGAGAATCAGAACAAACCTTCTGCACATCTTTCTCACATCCTGAAAAATAAAGAAACAAGAGGATGGATCAGAAAATGGGAAGGCGGAAAAAGGACGGGTGAAGTGTAGCTGTGGAGGTAAGAGACAACATACTGTATACAGTACAATAAATATAATAATAATAATGATTCATGTACGTTATTTACATTTGCTCGGCCAAACTCCAACAAGGTTAAGATTCAGTCATAGCAGCTCTGTAAGATTGCACTTGTGCTAACTAGCTCCCCATGACAATGCAAAACTGCTGATATCTCACAGGTACAATGTTTTCCATGTTCACTATCTTAGTTTAGCATGTTAGCATGATAATATTTGCTAATTAGCTTAAAATTTCAAGGCAATCCATCTTATAGCTACTGAGATATTTCAGTCTGCACTAAAGTGGTGGACTGAGCGAGAGACTGACATTTCCATCTCCACAGCTACGACACCGGCATGCTTAAAAACATTGTGTCCTACATTTCCCATAATGTTACTCAGTGGTGTCTTTCGTTAGAGAGTCCCTCCCTGGTAAATACCCACTTTTCCACAGTCCACAGCTTCAGTCTGTTACATGGGCTTTATATAATACATTTGTGGTTATGTTGATAACCCTCATGACATCAACTATGACATCATCAGGGTTATTATCCTCAGACTTTAGAAAACTCCCTCCAGAGCCAAAGAAGACATTATACAGCTGTTTTATCGGGCTGTGTAGTACTCCTTATGATTTCAGTGTTGCAGCCCATGAGATTTAAATGTAGAAATCCCCTGCTTTTTTTAACTTAAATATTGAGTTCTGGGTTGAACTAGCTCCACCTGTGCCTGAGCAGGAGGTTATCAGCGCAGCTTCCTCTTATACATCATTTGCTGAGATTCACCCTGAGATGGCGACTGCAAACTCCCTCTCTCTCTCTCTCTCTCTTCCTCTGCCAGTCTGTGGCTCCATGTTGCACTGCGTTCAATCAGTGGATCAGAGGAGCCAGTCTGCAAAGCCAGTCATAATAGAAGCTGCAGAGGGAGCCGAGTCCCTGCCCCCCCATTCCGACGCTCGATCAACATCTCCCAGATAAGATTACAAAAGAATACTGTTTTCATTCGGGATTTGTGTAAACTTTGGAGGCGGGTATCTCTCACTGCATTGTGTGGCGAGACTTTCTTTCTTTTGTCTGCCTTTTGTGTTCAACAGAAGTTTGCTTATTTCAGACTGAAGAGGGTTACAGACCTTCACATAAACAGAGTCGGCTGAGACTGAAATTACACAAACTGCAGTGAAGCAGTGATTTGGTTTCATAGTGAGGGATAAATGCATTCTTAAAGAGATTTTAAGGTTTTGATGATGATATGTTTAGATCAGTGACTTGTCCAGGGTATATCCTGCCTCTCGCCCACGGTCGGCTGGGATTGGCTCCAGCTGCCCTGTAACTCTGCACGGTTAAGTGGTTAAAGATGATGGATGGATGTTTTAATCCTATAAATCACAGCAATATATAATATCAAACAAACCAACTACATTCACTACATTGCAGTAAGCAGAAAGTCTTCAGGAAGGAAACACTATATCTTCACAAACCATATTTCACATGAAATAACGTAAATGTGCCAAGAAACTTGTTAAACATGTGTAAACATAAAGAAAGATCTTCACTTCTTACTACAAGCCAATAGTTAGTCCATATATGATCATGGCAGATTCTGATGTTTGTTATTTGTGTGCTGATGCAACTTTATCAGGTTTTCTAAAACCCTCAAATATCAACCAGAATCAGCCTAAAGAAATCCATTATCAGTCCAGCTATAAATAGATCCAATGAAAAGTGTTGACAGTAAGGTCTGCTGGTTACTGGGAGTAACCAGGGCAAAGGTCTTGAGAAAAGACATTGCTGGTGAACTTTCAAATGTGATATGTTAATGCTGTGTAAGCGGCAGACGGATTCTATTCAGCTCCATTGTAATGGGTTGGAGGGAGAAGTCTCAGAGATGATTATAACTAAACCTGACAAAAAACAAATCTGCATAGCTAGATACCACTACAAGTGGAAAAATATGTTTTATGTAGTCATTTGGATGCACTTTAAACTTTTTTTTACAGTGAACAAGCTAATAGAAATATGTATTTTTAATGTGACACAGTCTTTGGATCTCATTTCCTTCAACAGTCAACATGGATGACTTAAGAGGAACTCTGTTGGGAAACATTTCATACCAACCAAACAGAAAACACAGGGAGAGTGAAGAACGATAGAAGCAGAACTTCAATCCAGGCATGAGGGTGGTTCAAACAGGCAGAACAAAAGCAACCTGCGACGGGCGATCAAGATTGCATGGCGGTTTGGGTGGACGGGCTGATAAGACAAAGCTGTGTTGAGAGGTAAAGAAAGCTATCTGTGACACACATCTGAGGGCCACACTGGAGCCCAGGTGATATAGCCGAGCTGGTTAAGGATCCGTGCATCTCTGCAGAGCCCCGTGCAGATATACTGCAGATACTGGAGGTCTGGAGATTACATAAGTGGGAAGCTATGGTCTCCCTGCTCTGGCGACAGGGGCACAAAGGCACGACGATGGGAGATCTGATGGGCAGGAGGATTAGAAGCTGGATCTGAAAGGCGCCAGGCCAGTATCAGCAGCAAGACTCCTACCAGTCTCTCAATACACGCACATACAGCAGCACACAGTGAAATGTAGGCAAAAACACATGTATACATAGGGATACAACAATGCACTCACTCACAATCGTACACGTGTAAGAGTAAGCATTGTCCTCAACATGACTTGTCTAGTTCAACTGACTGGCATGCTGAATGGCGTCATATGAGCACACTTAGAAAGAGACGAGAACAGGCTAGAAGGATAAGAAAGACGAGAGGAAATCTTTTGTTCTGGGGCTTTAGCTACTAAAGTTTGGTCAAAGAAGCAGGCCTTTAGCCCTAAGTATAAACAGTTACTCAATGGCTGGGGCCAGTGATGGGAAACCAGGGTGGTGAGTTGTGGGGGGGTGAGGGTGGTGGGGTAGTGTCTGAGGAAAAACGATGCCAGACTGGGGCCGGGGTTTGGTCTGTGGGAACCTCTAAAAATCAGAGTGATAGAGTTACACAGGCTGGCTGAGGTTTTCAAACTAAAACACACAACAAAATGACCACAAGGCAAAATTATTCCGGTCACCAAGTCAGATAGATGCTGAAGCTCACCGTCTGTCTGTCTGCTCAAAGTGGAGCTAATGTTGTCTAATATTATGAACTGAGAGGGGGAGAAGAGCTTTGGTATTCATTACTCTGGAGACGTTTTTTTGGGGGGGGGGGGGGGGTTGCCTGTCTTTAGAGAGTAGGAGCTGGAATACATAAAGTTTGCATTATTGACATCACCTACTTGTCAGATCTCGTCCAAGCTGTCTTATGTCTTTGTTGAGATCATCAAACTTGACCTGTGCTGCCAGGAAGACGTCCTGAGGTTCGGGAAGAGGGAACATACTCATGTCGGTGCCGGCGTTCTGGTGGAATACAATCAAAACACAGCAATAAAACATCATCGTTAAATCGGGAACTGACATAAAGCATCTTTGGACGTTGGAAACACACTTGAAATTTTAGTTTCGACACTACTGTGTCACAGTAAACATTGATGAAGACATAAGGCAAACACATATAAAGTCAACCTAGGACAGGTGTTTAGTTGTCAGTGGATAATGGATAATTGGTTGAACAGGATTTCAAATGTACTGAGAATGGGACCAGTGTCCAAGTGCCACACACTCATGCACTATAATCACTTTGGAAATAAAAGACTGCAGATTTATCTTAATGTTACAAAGACATAAGTACAAAAAGTACTGCATCCGTCAAGTGTAATCAATAAGAAGAAGACAAATTCAGCCAAAAAGCTCAAATGTGTTTGAATCCAATATGCTTTTCAGTTGGTAGACTGGATCCATCATCTAATAGATTTGAAATCCCGCGCTCTCCCAATTAGTGATGACAATACCTGTGTTCAGCTGACTACAGCATGTCTTTGTCCATACTGGCTTTGATGAAGACACATTAGTGTTAAAACTTTGGACTATTTGCACTATTAAAAGGCTGCAAATCAATTTATTGGCTTCAGCACACTTTTCTCCCCCTTGGTAGAAATGTTATCATGCAAGTGAACACAGTAAAATCGTCTTGAAACTTCTTTTTGTGTTGCAGTTATAAAATCACACTCAACCCCTTTGCCTCTGTGAACTTGATAAATATCAGCTATTTTCAAATACCCAGAGGAAAACAATATAAATAGATCCATGTCATTTAAAGTAAAGTAACAAAGTAACAATAATATGTCAATAACAGAGCAACTAATACCTGATCCACATTGTACAAGTAGTATGTCACCACGTAGTCCAGCAGGCTGATACGATTGTCCTGAGAAGAAATGCAGGAGACATGTTAAAACTGCATCGGTAAAAGCAAAACCTTAGTGTGCAGGTCAGTAGCTCAGTGTCACAGTGCCATTAAAAGATTCTATGAGTTGATAATAACGTTCATGAACTCATTTAGTTTACCGTTCTTATTCTGGTCATGCTTTATGGACTCGTTTGGCCTCTCAGGCTACACACCACAACCCTGTTACTGGTGGAGGCTGTGGAGACTGGGCTGACAAATGTTTTGCCACTTCCTCTGCTGATTTTTCTTTTCAGTTAATATTCACCATAAACAATATATTTTCAATATATTTGGACATCAAACATACGGCAGTAAAGTGCTTCTTTTTAGTAAAGATATAAATACAAAAAAAACATTTTGTTGCAACATCAGGTCTCTGTAAATGAAACCCTGACTTCACTGGGTTCTGAAACCAAACCTATGCTCTTGTATGTCCTTAACTCTTGCTTGCTCAAGGAAGGGGTTCCTTGATGGCAGTAAAACAAGGATAGAAGAAGAAGAGTGGACTAATGATTATTTTGCCCTCCTGTCAAATCAGACAGACCTCTTTTGTAACTCCACCCAAGCTTTGACCCAGGACTGGTTTCCTATGCGCACCTGCTCTTCAATTCCCCGCAACATCCTCATATATTGTCAGTCAACATTCACATCAGATTGCATTTGCACCAGTAACAGTTCTCTGCTCCCAGTAAGCAATACGCTGTGTGCTGCACTTATACTCCATCACTAAGAAAACTATATTTACTATAAGTTAATAAAACACGATGAAAGGTAGGGAGCCACTACAGTCTTTCTACAGTTATCAAGGCCTTACCCGGCTCTTGACATCCTTCAGTTTAGGTAGAATCTCCAAGCCAAAGCCATCGGCCTGACCTCTGACCCTGCTACCTCCGTTCATGTGGTTCCCCAGAGCCAACACCAGTCCCACCACTCCTCTCACGCCATCGCTCTCCAACAGAGTCTTAAAACAGAAAACACATGCAGGATCAACTACATCTTATGGTTAAGTAAAGACAGCTGGCACCTCAGAGCCAATCACAGATAAATATCACACCTATCACAAGAAAATTATATAGAATGTGTACTGATGTAAATCAGTGAAAAAAACATGTCATTAAAGGTAAGTACTTTTTCTAAATATGACACATTTGATCACATTTACACCTTTTCATTATTTAAACATGCTCAGGATGATCTAATTATGAGTCAGTAAAAAACAGACTAAAGTTGTATTTGCACCCAATAAGGTCTTAAGTTCTTATCATTGACCCAGAGGGAGTCAGACATGCATTTGGCCACATACTGCAGACAATACTTCAGTAAAATGCATGTAAACAGCAGATTGCTCAAATACTTGTTAGGGTTATTAATATATGGGGAGGAAGGGATATAATTGAAAAAAATAGACAGTACAGTGCATTGATATATTATGAGAAGAAAGGTCATGCGTAGTAATCTATGTTTTGGCAAGTGAAAGAGAAATCAATGCCAAATCAGTGAGGATGGGGTGATTTTGATCCCAGTATATCCCAGTTCAATGTAGTTGAATGAGAACAATTTGAAACATTACCATGGAACTGTGTGTGACTGCTGTCGGTTTCTTTTTTCCTACCTCACAGACAGAGGAGACTGTGTTGAGCTTGCGTTGGATGGACGCGATCCCATCGATGAAGGCCGACTGGAAGATGATGCTGTGAGCTCTGCCAGCAAAGTCTGGGATCTGAGACAGCTCATACAGGAACCTGGAGCACAACCACATCAACAGACAAAATGTGAAGATCTTGTCCATCCCTCTCAGAACTGCTGACAGAGGTTCAGCACAGCATACAGACCAGGTATTTGTCTTCTCAATGTGTGTGCGCGCGCACACACACACACACACACACACACACACACACACACACACAAAGTCAATTACTGTTCCAGTTTCGTGAGATACTGACTGTTCGGGTTTGTCCAGCAGTTTAACTTGCTCTTCTTCTGACGTCTCGTAGTGTTTATTGATTCTTTCCAGTTCCTCTGGCTGTGCTCTCTGACAGAGTGACAATATCACATAAATAAAGGGTTCATAATTGTGCGATTGCACGTAGTTAAAGCACAGTTAAGTGTGCTGTAATACTTACATTTTCATACAGTGCTTCAATGGTCTCCAAGTCCACCACAGAGTGGTCCACTGTCAATACAGCTGCAAGTGGGAATATACAAAAGCAAACAAATTTTAATCAGTGTTGAACCGTCTAAAAGCTGGGATTAAATATCTTATATTATTATAATTTATTTGATAGTCACACTAAGAACTTTTTGAGTTTCATCCAAATCTTACATAAATACAACCGACCTCATGATCAATTTTGGAGACCTGAAATTAACTTAAATAGTTACAGAGTCCTCTTGAATGTCCCACAGCAACATAAATTAAGAAATGCTTGCGAGACTTTCTTAAGAGGAATTGCTCCGAGGCATCTTTCACTTATTGACCCTTTCAATCAAGTCAAAGTTAATGACAAGAGTTATCATTATGAACTTGTGAGTAACATTAATTCAAGTTTAAAGAAATGGGCAATAAGTTTATCCAACTAGAAATACTACACAGATGATACAGGACACCACAACAGTTGTATGACGGCACATGGATACAACTAGATGCTTGCTGGTGATGTGAAGAAAATGGTGCCTCTATTCTACTTATATTTTGGACATGTCCACCAACTGAAGATTTGTGGGATATCCAACTGGTTATTTTCATAGTGCTAATGAAACAATTTCCTACAAAACAGTTTTGTGTCTGTCAATTTATAATATAATGCAATTGTATTTCAACTCATTTTTGGAACTGGGTAACTTGAATCTTGTAGAAGGTTCGGTAACATTTTGAAAGATTACTGAACTCATTTTGAGGATCGTGTCACATAGTAGTCTTAGAAACAGCAAACAAAAAGAACACCACTACAGAATATCATTTAATAGTAATGTGTTAAAGTATGCTAAAAAGGGTAAAAGTTCTTGATGGTCCTTCCTCTGATTTACTAAAAAAGAAGAAAGATGTTTGGATGTTTGGGATTAGCAATGCAGATTGCCTCTCTGTAACTGTCTTGCTGACATTGTGGTGAGTGTTTCAGCCTTTAATCCTACTTTAAATTCACCAACAGCTCATATTCAGAGTGAAATACAGGGTAACTTCAGTGTGCTGCCAGGGTTAAAGTTAAACAAGGGTGATGTTCAGGGAGCTGCGGTTAGCTGAGTGTTTACAGATGAAAGCTGCAGGTTCAAGTTCCCAGACTGGCTGGGAAATCGAGCCAATTTAGTGATTTACTGTAATCCATTTTATGTGATAGACACGATGATGTCTGTTTGATTACAATCTTCATCTGCAAAGTAACTCAAGCTGTCAGATACATGTTATGGAGGAAAAAGTGCAATATTTCCTACTGAGTTACAGTATAAAGTAGCATACTTGAAATACTCAAGTAAAGTACCTCCGAATTGTACTTAAGTAGAGACTAGAAACTACAACATTTATTTTGACATAGTACGTTAAACGGAACACTAAGTTTTTGAACTTGTTTTTGATGCACTCGTAATTTTTTTAAACTCGTTGGCCTGAGATAATAAAATTTTTATCTAGTTCTATTTTTACAGTTAAAATGACAAATAAACGTGAATTTAAGCCGCTCAAGGACACAATGAGCCTATACATGACTGCTAAGGTTCTGCGTTATATTACCACATGTAAATCTTGAATGAGTCCAAGTTTATTTCCTGCTGCAGTCATTCCTAACATCAGTAGCTGAAGGGAAATAAACTTTGATCAAAGCTGTTTAATAGCAACACAACTGAATGAAAGAAATTATGTTTAACTCACCTTGTTGTATATCTTTCATTTCCAGGTGGAGGCTCGATATGAGGATGCCCACGGCCTGGGAGCGCTTCCCGTCCAACAGCTTAATGATCTGACACACACACACATGCAGAGTTACTATGACCACCGTAACCCTAGAAACCATTAGTAAGTCATTAGTGGAGAGGATATTGTGAATGATGGTGAAGATGGAGCAAAACAAACATCGGTCATATTATGCTTCAGCCTGATGCATTAGCACTTCAGTTGTCAGGATTCAGGAATGACGGTGATTTATCTAAACAGCTGATTAAATGTCACTGACAAGTAACAGTAATATAATGTACATGATGTACTCATGTTTGAACTAATGGCATCTTTTTTTAAATTGTATTTTATGTTATTCTCCATCTTGTTGTCCCTTAAATGTTTTAACGCATTCTTATGTCTTCTGTGTAGTGCTTTAGATTGCTATGCAAATAAACTTGTAGCATTAGTGTCCTTACTCATTGCAAATGTAACGAACACAAATTGAAGGATTTCAGGATTAGGGGGGAAACGGCTGAACAGACACAGAACAGTGTAAAAATATACCTATAGAGTAAAGGGAGTAATTAAACTGTGAGTTGAATAAAAAATAATTGATTTGACAGGTAAAGATAAACAAACCTGTACACTATGAGGAAGACATAAATTCTCTTCCATAATTGAGCCTCAATCTGGATTTTTAACACTTTGGTATTTGTAAACTCAATGGCATTAACCCCCTCTAGTGGACAAGCGACACATTGCAAATAATTCCACAAGCTGTAGTGTGTCTTGATGTCTTCAGTTATTTAGTTACCTTCCTGGCTTTGGCATTCTTCTCATAAGCCTCTGAGAGCGGCTTCCTCTTGGTCTGTGTGGTGGTTTTGGCGAAGAGGTCCTCAAACTCCCTTGCATTAATTATATTTGGTTCCTCTAAAACGTTCCACAGTGTGTTGTTACTGTGGGACAGAGAAACATATTGTATAGTAATCAGCCTCTTTTTAAATATATTTTACATTTAAACAGTGATACAAAAGTGTGGATCAAGGTTTAAAGATGTATCAGTATTTTAACAAAGCTGTAAAACTGAGCAACAGTACCGGCTTGTTTAAATGATACCCTGCACCGGAGTTTATTCTGATATTAATTAGATTGTACTCTTATAATTTAAAACTATGTACCATTATCTTGGAGTTCAATAAGAGATTTAGTGTAGGGTTATAACTAACAATAATTTTCATATTTGTCAGATCCCAAGTTGACATCTTGAAATGCCTTGTTTTGTCGGACCAACAACCCAAAAACCAAAGAGATATTAAGTTTACTGTGATATAAAACAGAGAAAAAAAGAAACTGGAAGAGCAAGAACTAGAGAATTGTTGGCATTTGTACTTGAAAAAGTCCTGAAACAATGAATTGATTCTCAAAAAAGTTGTAATTTGCAATTACAAATCAATTAATAGACTAATCACTTCGGCTCTACTTAAGTGTAATTTATATATTTATGGTGTCAGTTGTAAATAATTGTACCTTAATTACTTATTTTAATTGATCACAATAACCGAAAAGCCAAGGGTCAAATCTATGGATACATGTATTACATAATAACATTAATTCAGTATTTCATATTAGCAGTGCATTAAATTGAATACTTCTTATTTAATGGGCGGTCGTCTTTGGCTGTGAACCTACTTGTTGTCCTGGATCTGGATTCTGGTCCAGTAAAGAGGCCTCATGGGTTGGGAAGGCTCCACTGCAGGTTTCCTGGGAGGTTTATCAATCACGAGGCCCGCTCCTGTAGGAGGAGGTGGTGGGGGAGCTAAGCCTGGCATGGATGGAGGAGGTGGTGGTGGTGGAGGTGGCGGTGGAGGGTCATTTGATTGCTGCATGTGATTTGTGGGTGAAGACAAACATGGCGGAGGTGGAGGAGGAGGAGGAGGCAGAATTTCTGTTTTGGTTGGTAACGTCTGAGAAGGAGCGGGTGGTTGTTCTGATAGAGGTAGCGTGGTTCCAGGTGGAGGAAGACTTTGAGATGGAGGGTCAAGCAATGAGGAGGAAGACAAAGTATCGTCTCTCTGATTGGCCAGGCTAAGGCCGATAGAAGCTAGGTCCAGCTTTTTGGGGGTCACCTTCTGCTGCTGAGGGCTGGCGCAGGGTCTCCCCGTACCTTCTCCATCCTCAGAAGTCTTAACAAACGTCTCTCGGTCTGTCTGGACGCAGACTGTGCGGAAGGATTTGTTTAAAAAGTCGTCTCCCGTTGATACAGCAACATCTTTGAGTTCCCCACGATGGCGGCTCCCAATCTGTGAGAGTTCGGCCTGCAGCTTGGCCAGAGTGAACTCCAGACGGGCAACATTGTCCTCACTTTCCACCCTCAGTCTGGACAGTTCCTGACCATAGTCATCCTGAAAACACCATTAGACTTAGCCCAGCCTTTTATGTATTATCATTACAATCAAGTTACAGAACTAAGCTGTTCAATCTCTAATGATCTTTCAAAACCAGAAATTTAGTTGAGTTTTTAAAGGTATTTCTAGAATCCTCTTGCCATCAGGATAAAAAACTTTTCTGTCCACTGCTTAGCTGTAATTAGTGGATTAATTTCAGAATAATTCCCAGACATTTCCTGAAAAGAACAATTTTATTTGGTTTTACATATTAGGGAACATTGTTCTTGTTCCATTTAATCCCAAATAAATATTTATTCATTATGTGAATATTCTCCATATATGTAACAATTTGATGCTTGTCTGTACACAAATTATCAAAATATTATAAATACTAATATATTTAAAATGTTTTTAGCATGCAGCAGACATAAAATATTTTATTTCAGATGGACAGAAGGGAAACAGGGGAAAGTGATGTTAAACAACATTCAGGGTTTTTTAAAGAGCTTTATCTTCCAGACTAATGTAATAATTAATATACGAGAGGCAAAAACTGGGGCTGTTTAGACTTAACATCCACAGGGATGATGTAGCAGTCAAGCTTATTTATTTCAACATATTAGGAAATACACTTATTTGCTTTCTTGCCAATAGTTAAAGGAGAAGATTGATACCACCCATGGGCCTGTAATGTAAATCTGAAGCTACAGCTAGCAATTAGCTTATCTTAGCATAAAGACAAACGAGGGAAAACGTCTAGCATGCCTCAGTCCAAAGTCTGCCTACCAGCACTTCTAAAGCTCACTAATTAGCATGTTATATGTCGTTTGTTCTATCTGGACAAAAAAGAAATGCCACATTTTAGTTTAGGGGATGTTAGCTGTGGAGAGAGCCAGGCTAGCTGTTTCCCCCTGTTTTCAGTCTTTGTGCTAAGCTAGGCTAACTGTCAGGGACCAGCTTCATATTTACTGTATAGACATGAGAGTGACATTAATCTTCTCATCTAACTCTCAGCAAGAAAGCAAATCAGAGTGTTTCCCAAATGACAAACAGTTCCTTTAAGTATACATTTTGCAACACCTGGCTGCACACCAGGGTTCAGCACTTCACTACATCCTTCATACTGACCTGTAATTTCTCCAGCTCCTCTTTGCATTCTCTCTTCAGCTGCAGCAGAGCAGCCTGGTGCTCTGACAGGAAGAACAATGAGAAAGAGCATCTTACAACAGCTTTGTATTCTTTCTTGTACCACCACAACAGATGTTCATTATTACAGCTGTGGAGCCAAAGACCACTTTCTTTACCATGATGGGCTGATTAGTGATGTGGCTGAGTACAAGCTGAACAACCATGAGACACTTCAATTCAACAAATCAAATCCATCTTTTACCACTGCAAGAGGGGGTGTTTGAGGATATACTGTAGCTGTTGAGGATGCAGATGGTGAATAACAATACAAATGTTTACCAGATGATGGCAGTAGAGCATCAAACATAAAGAAAAACATAAAGACTGTGGCGTCTTACCGAGAGTATTGAATCAAACATTTTATCTGCTAATGGATGACAACTTGGCAGTTAGAAAGTGTATTTACTATCACCTTCTTGACAGTATTTAGAGGAGGCATGTTTTCAAGATGGTGGGTGTACACATGGAACACACAGTTTTATCCCTGCTCAAACAACCTTTGATAATCCCACTGATAGACAGAGGTAGACATTTTTCAAGCAAGTTTAAATCTTCACTTTGTCACTTATCCATTGAAATACCAAAGGAAGCAGGACCACTTTTATGCCTTTTCAAAGCAGTGAGTGACATTTGATGTACATGTCTATACGCTGTCACTCAAACAGGGCTTGACATTCCCCCCCCCCCCAAAAATAATCAATAAAAAAAAACAAAAACGTAGAACTTATTTTCTAGCACCACATGGTTTCAGGCAAGTTAAAATAAAATCACAGATCACTGATTTCTAGTCCTTATTACAGTTCAAAATGTAGAGACATCTGGGGCCAGTTTCACTAAGATATTTTAGACTGGTCTGTAGTTATAGTCCAACCTTAATTTTTTTCTTCCATTAGTCCACTGCAACTTTCACATTTTCGCAAAAATATAGAAACTGATTTCTTTAAAGCCTAAAAAGTTAGCCAACCAAACCCCCAGGCTAACTTTGAGAGCCGTGTTTTCATGGTAACAATCAGTGACACCTGCTGATCAGTGATACCAAACAACAAAAGAGGACAACATTGCTCATAATTTGAGGTTTTTTAAAAATGTTGTGGAGTGAGTAATGAGAAGGGTATAGATGTTGGCCATAATGGTACCACTGGGTGGCGCCAATGTTGAAACATTTTTAATTGTACATTGTAATGGCTTCAGGCAAAAAAAGGATTTTAAAAATCCCTTTTTTCAATAAAATATTAAGGATTTCCTTAAAGGCACCACAGTCTGGGCCACATGTGTCTAGCAAATCCCTTCACATACTGAAGGCGCTGGCGTCTGACAGACTTGTTTGCTGTGGACACACACAGGGTGGAGTTGTGTTTGCCGTAGCATAGAAGCCTGATATTACATCCACCACATGATATCAAAGAGCAAACACTCCTACTTCCTCTGCAGCTATGTGTCGAATTAACATGTGTCATGAATATTTTGAACACAGCATTAATCTGTGTGTATTTATAGGGTTGTGATATGTAAGTGTAAATGTATTTGAGCACCATTTTCTCAAATGTCTTTTTTGTAACCCTAATGTTCTGTTTAGGGTTGTGGACATCACAAACCCTCAAGAGCTCAAAACACAGACTTTACATCAGATACTGATCCTTCACGATTTTCCCTCATTTTTATGTGCGCTACAGAAAATGACACATTACAGCAGTTTGGAGTCTCACAGACCACAGCTATAAAACACGGTTAAATATAGTAGATTTTCATATGCATTTTAACTGTGATTGATGTTGACAGTAAGTAGGCCTACTTTTTACACAGCACTTCTGCTCCCAAATCCCAAATAATATGAAAATATATCTGTATTTCTCTGAAGTCAAATTGACCCTCAACATAAGTAACGTCACTATGTGTGATAACATACTGTACATTTTCATTGTCTGTGAATGATTATTGGCAAACAAAGGAATATATGAATATTTGTTCATCAATAGCCCATGTAACATATAGAAAATTAAATATGTCCTTGCTTGGTGTCATAACAATACTTTATGCTTATTTCTGTATTTTATCATATTAATCAAATGTGCAAGCTCAGTTTGCAGCAAAGGAAAGGGTTACCACTTAATATTTTTCTAGCCTACATATCAGATTTTAAAGATTAGAAGAAACAATATTTAAATGGAAATAAATGGTTAATTTTGCAATTATTATGTGTCCACAAACAACAAGGTTGGGAAAGCAAATGTCAACAAAGCACAAGGGTTCATTTCAGAGGGGAGAATGTTTTTTTGGACAAAAAACATGACTGTGTAAAAATGTGTCAGTACCTGCTTCTGTGTACTTCAGCCCAACTTTTTCCTCCTTAAGTGGCGGCCAGACGGCTTGTAGACGACCAGGAGTTCTTTCTTCACCCTCTCCTTGGGTGGATGCTTCTGACTGGAAGGAAAAAAAGAGTTTGACAACAGATTTATAACAGAATCAATCATAAATAGAGCTCTTTGCCTTTTAACACACACGATAGTTTTCCAATCATGGATACAGTAAAGATAGTCTTACACCAATAAAAAGTAAGAAGTAATGATTATATTTTATGCTCAATGGTGATTCATACACAATTCGTACTTTGCCGTTAGGTGAGTCTTTCTTCTCTGGTGTCTTATTGGAGGTTCTCTCAAAAAGCGCTCTCAGCACATCTTTTTCTGTTCTTATCTTTTTCCTCACTGCGTCCAGGTCCACCTTCTCTGCTGGGTCCTTCTTCAAAGGCTTTGGGGTGAAAAAAGCTTTGAAGGCATCGAACGCTGCTTCTGCACCGGACACAGAAGGTTTCGTAGACTCAGATGAAACATCTGCATCCCTCTCTGTTGTTTCAAGTTCTTTCCCTTCACCCTCTTGACTTTCTTCATTCTCATTCTCCTCTCTGGTGTTGTCCTGGTCTCCCTCAGACTCCATTTCTTTCTTCTCCTCTTTCTCGTCTCCTCTCTTTTCCCGGTTCAGTAACTGGGAGATCTGGTCCAGGAAGCTCCCCTGAATCTTAACATCCCCTTGCTTCTCAGGGAAAATGTCCCTTCTTGCTCGTTGAGACGAACGTTTGATCTGGGCAACGGTGTCGTGCTCGGGTCCGACCACCCCCTTCCTCAGGATCCTCAGGCCACTAAAGAGGGCAGGGAGCTGGATCTGCTTGTCTGTAGGGGAGCCTGGGGAGAAGGTGGCTCTGGATATGGTGGATCCAGGTGGAGGGTTATTGGCTACAGCTGCAGATGTTGTGGAAACAGTGGGTGAAGTGTCTTTTGGGCTGGAAGGAAGGTGGAGTTGGTCGGAATAGTCTGGAAATACATCTCTTTTCTCTTCTTCTTCGCTGTCCTTCTCTGCACCTGTACTGTCCTCTTCCTTGTCTTTTTTGAAGCAGGAAGGGCCACCAGTTTGCTCCATCGTTGGTGTAACTATTGGTTCAACCTGTTCCTCAACTCCAGGTCCTGTCCGAGTCACCATTATCACTACATGTTTGGTTTTAGATGGTCTACTTTTCACAGATTCCTCAGGGTCAAAACCCACGTCCGAATTGGAAGCACTTGTGACAAAATCTTCCTGGCAGTGAGCATTTTCGTAGTCTTTTCTCATGCTCTGCTTGGCTTCTTTAGTGCCATCCTGCTTGACACCGACTGGTGCAACACCACCACAATCTGTATTTGTGTCAGTTGAAATGTGTTGACATTCCTGTTGCAGAGATTCGTTCGAGGCACATTCATCTAGTGATGTATGACAACCCTTGTTGCTGCAATCATTAACTTTGTCACAGTGGTTGTCTGGTGTCTTATTCTGCTCTTGATTTGTTGCAGAGGTCTGTTCATCTGAGCCATTTTCAGTGTTTACATCCACACTTTGCTGCTCTGAAAGGTTGACATTATTCATCTCCTCCTCTGTCATGTCTGAGTCATTTCCTACTTCTCCCGATGAGGTGGAGGTGATATTCTCTCCTTCATGGGGCAATAGGACATATGATAAGGAGTCTCTACTGTTCTCCAGAGCATCTTCAAACCTTATATCCCCATTTTTCTTTAGATTAAAACTCAGCTCAATGTCTTCTTGCATGTCCTCATTTTGCTCCTCTGGGAAGGTCCTGAAAAGTTTTAGGACTGCTTTTTGCTCCTCCATTTGCTGGGCAGTCCGTCAGTCGCTCATAAAGAAAGTGGTGAAGTTATCCAGAATGGAGCGAAAAGCTTTTCCCACAACGTTAACATTGTGCTTACCATTTACACTGCTCATGTCAGAGACTTAAGTGTAACATTGTGCTATCCTTCATGAGAAAAATGCAGTCTAAGAAGGTGTAATTGTCATCTGTATGGCATGCACTAATTTGTATAGCTGGTTCAAAGATCATGCAACTTACAGTGAATAAATTAATGAGAGTAAGCCAATAAAGTCATATCACCACTTCTGAAAATCCGACCTGTTTCCGCTCCAGTTTGTTGAAAAGAAATAAGATTTATCCTTTCACTGGTACAACAGCTCCTTCATGTCTTACTGCTGAACTACATTTCCAAACCTTAAACTGGAAACAGTTGTTAGTCACTCAGATAGTAACCAATAACAGGACAGAAAACCAAAGAGCAATGGAAAAGTGAGGCTTTTCAAGCCTGGCCGCCTGGCTGTGCAGGCTAGAGTGACTCAGCTCAACCACAGTTAAAAGTCAGATCCAAGTCTTGGTTTTAGCGTCCAAGTTGTGCCTTCTGTTCCCTCTCACTCCTCTATCCTTGCAGCAGTAGTTTACAGAGCTGCACCTTGGACGCCGTCCTGCAGATTGTCAGAGTATAATTGGAAGCAGATGGTTTCTTCAGCCACCGTTTGCTGACAACACCCTGACAGATCCGTGAGGCAAAAGAAGCCACCCACAACAGATGGAGGGACACCACACCCAGTGCTGAAGGAGGGTAAATAGGACTGCCAGAGATCACTTGTTAAATGTTTGGCCTGCAAATCCACAGTGAGAGGGAGTTTTCGCAGTTCCAATGCAGGGTACTGAGCAACACCTGGCTAATCTTGCTCCCCACCTACCCACTACAGTTAATCAGCCCACATTAAGTCTAACATACACAATAGATCAACAGAGATGATTTGTTAAATAATTGGTTGTAAAAATCAAAGTACTTAGTGACAGTGTTATTAGCTAAGAATGAATGCATCAATTGCATTTTAATGTTTTATATTTAATGTTTTTAATGCATTATGAAAAGCAAATTCCCTTTGTGTATGACACTTGCCTTGCTTTGCATTTGTGCATAAATTAAAACTAATCTTTGTGCTATTCTTACATCTCAGGTTCCACCCTTGTTTGCTTTTATGTCACATTATCACAACCAGCAGCAGGTAAATTATATTTTAACTATGTGTCATTACACTGTGTAACTTTGTCTGAAAATGATTGTATTCAGAGACATGCCTGTACCCTGCAGTGGCGTCTTAACTGGCTACACTTAATCGTTTGAATACTAATAAAGTGCCTTTGCATTCCCAGGGAGTGGACACTGTGGCCTTTATGTGAGCTGTTTTTATATAATAGGTATGAATCCAGATAATAGCATTAAAATCAGAGTGCACACATAACAGTCCTGAACAAACACACTGGACTGTGTCCAGCATTAGGCAGCAGACATTCAATGGCATTCATGTTATATACTGCACCCAGATCTGCATACAGCAAAGGTGTAATATCGTCTTTACTCAATTGTTACGGACCTAAACCTAAACTGATTTCTTACTGGATTCATATCAAATTCATAAATATTGCTTCAACTACATATTTCTGCCTTGTAAAAGTTGTTCCACATTAGAGAACATTTTATTAACGTTACAACTCCATAAATTGTAAACATGGAAATAATTTCTGAAGATATTGCTGCATTTCCTGGTTTTGGAAATGATTCTCCATACTTGTATATACTACATACTACATTTTTGGGTGAATTCAGAGTAGCCTTAACCTGGAGATATATATATATAAAATAAAATCCAGATTTTCTATTCTTTTTACTTTAACTGAATATCAAACCATGTTTCTGCTGAGCTAGTTTAGAAATATAGTTAATAGTTTTTAATGGTTAAGGGTTATTTGTTGTGCTTTACTTTGTTCCCTTGTTTAAAATTCTGTCTTAAGCATTCAGGGTGAAAACAAAACCCTGACAAAATGGTCAAAATAAATGTAAGTGGTCTCAAGTTTGTGTCCAGGACCTCCACACACACACGTATACAGAGGGAATAAGGCAGGAGCTTAAGAGCTTTTTTAAAAAAAAAAAACCATTTCATGCTAATACAGATGCCATTGCTTATACAACGCACCTACAGTACAGTGTTGCATTAAATCTCTTCTGTTATGTAACCTCGAGGAACTTTGTCACGACTGTATGAGGCCCAGTTTTGAATCTGGATCTACAGGATTGTGAAGCAAAGAGACCAGACTCCACTGTGGTGTGAAAATGTCAACGTCATGATGATGCACAATTATTGACATGAAGACTTTATGTGTGAGGTTTCACATAGCTGAATATTTTTCCACTGCTGCCATGTACGCCAAGATATTTAAAAAGATAAATAATAATTTAAAAATAAAAATAGACAGGAAGCACCATGAGCAAAAGTGCATCTGAACTTCAAACCCAAAACAACAAGACTGCAGACACTTTTTTCTAACTTTTCCAGACATGCAAGCTCCACCCAAAATAAAAACAAAAGATTGATGATTTAACACAGGACCATGTTGATGAGAGTTGACAGTGCTAACCACCATGTCAATCTGGGGAAAAAAATACTTCCTCTGTTGGCCCAGTGTTTGTCATTGCTTATGTGTTCCCCTGGAGCAGGTAAAGGGTTAGGTAAGGTGGTAAGGTGCTCAGGTTTACTTTGGCACACCATCATGATCCAATAATCTGCAAGTTGTCATTCAAGTCAAACACTACAGCAGCTAAATTAATTTATGTCCTTGCCGCTGGTAAAGTCTACTCATCAGCAAAACAGGATGTAGACTTTTAGGACATGTTAGTAAATGATTTAATACAACCAGTGTGGACAGTAGAGGTAGACAGTGAGGCACTCTCTTCCACATCAAGCCTTTTAAGGTACTCACCCAAAACTCTGGTGGGAGAGGTGTGGTTGTCGGTGTATCAATGATGTCATCTTCAGGAGCTGTGATGCGCAAGAAGTCAATGTGTTTAGGTCTGGAGGGATGAGACAGTGACATGCAGAAGGAGAGAGACTCCTCGACTTCCTGCTGCCAGATCTTTTCCTGCCTTTGCAGAGCCTCATCTGGAGAAAAGAGATTCAAATCATAACTAAAGCAGAATTATTATAAATAGGGCAATCTTAAAGTGCAGGTAAAAATGGCCCAAATGTTTCTTTTCTAGTGACATAGATCTGTTTCTTTAATGACCGCATCAACAGGAAAAAAAAACTGAATCTGACATTTTCATTGCTCTGATTTGGGTAACTTTACAGTAAATCATGTCCAATATTAAACAGGAACACATACCGTATATACTGTAAAAGACAAATGGAAACACAAATGGACTAAACACTATATATTAACACTAAATTTACTGTATGTCACAATAACAGCAGCAGGTGCATCCTGCCTCTGAGGAATGTTTTTTTTTCTTTTTAATTTTTCCTCTGATTACGAAGGCAAACAGTCAAAATGCTTTGAAGTATTCACGGTTTAGACTGTTGCCCGGTATGCCAGATTACCAGTCCAGACCTGGGTTATGCTATAGTGTCACCATGAGGATATATGACAGAACTTCAGCTAAAAATAAACAAGAAAAAAACTCTCTCTCTTAAACAATTGCATTTCAAAAAGAAGACTGGTTGTCATACTCGTGTTTATTTAACTGACTATTTATTATATTGCTTCGCTTTCTATTAGTTGTCACCCGGGACCACTGATTACTCTATTGTCCTCCGCAGTAAAAGCTCACAGCCTTGGGTCACAGTCAATAGACACCTGTTGCTTATATTCAAATGTGCATAATGTGAGGTTTGTGGAAATGTTTTGCAAAAGCAAATCAAATTATTTTTGTGGGAGCAAAAACAACAGTGCAGGAACTAGAAGATTTTTTGGATGTGCCTACCTCTCCCCATTAATCATCCTCCTTGCTTAAACTGAGATTACACTACAATTAGTATACTAGTATCCAAAATTCTGCTCCCAAAAACCAGAGATGCAGATGTTTTTGCTCCTGCAATAAGTAAATTTATCAGTAGACATATCCTAATCTTATACAGATGACATTCTGTCAAGAACAGAAAAACTAACATAAAAGCAGAGCCTGCATGCTGAAAGCTGGTCCCAAGATGTACACATTTAGGTCGCATGTCACATACAACAACATATGCATACATGGGGGCACATATAGCTAATCTTTTGGTATGTTTAATGTTACAAACAAGTATAGCTATATACAATATATAAATGATTTATATTATATATATATTTTATATATTGTGGATGATTGATGCGTGGTGTTTCGAGGTTGACAGCTACTGATTAGCACTACCAAATGTGCTAATTAAAAAACTATTGCGAGTACACAGATGTGCGACGAGAGAGGCTCTGAAGTGACATCATCATTCATCACTGTAATTATCACACAAAACATGTTTTCAAACTATCTTTTTTATCTATTTCTGTTCAGCAATCACCTTCCTGAGTTGCCACAGTAAGATGTGGCTCTAAAACTGCTGGAATTAGGTGTTCAATTCCCACTGCGGTCAAGCTCAAAATATACGGTGTGCACTGATGGTCCTGTAGAGAAATTTGAATAAAAACATCTAGCTAAAACCTAAACCTAAAAGGCAGCTCAACCTTGAGGACTGCAGGACTTTCATTTCCTGCATCCAGCTTTTCCCTATGTATTGCCTAACTGGTCACATGGTCCTCCCTTTATCTTTTGGTACAGGGAGTAAACTATTCTACAAAAATCTGACTGCATCATTTCAGATAAGAGTGCCAACAGAGATGCCAGTTGTGTAACTTTTAGCGGACACATAAACGTCCTCAAAGCCAGATTAAAGAGCTTGTGGAAATGTGTTATCTGTCCTCATTTTGACCACACTGAAGAGAACTGGATTTTGAGAATAACCCTCAGAAGGCTCTGCATGTCTTTCTCCCCCTCACTCTAATCATCATCCTCTTAAGATTTGTTGTATTTCACAAAGCTCAGAGCTTTAATCCTATTTGGACAGCCAGGCGTCCTGCTGCACAGCCTGGTCCAGCTTTCAAAGTAAGGAAGACGCATCAAACTCTGCCTGACATATTTGGTGCCTGTGTAAATTTTGGTATCTCTGGAAATTTATAATGTTTTTCTGTAGACAAGGTGTATTTTAAATGTAAAGCCAAGCAGAAAGATGCTTCCATATTGTCCCATATAATCCACATTATACAAGAACGTGTTTGTGATCTGAATTCCTCTTGAATTATTGTACTTATGGAACGTTTATACCCAGAGATGGACGCATTGATGCCACCAAGGCATCAACATTTTCTTATAATGTAAATGTACCGTAACATAAAATAAGTTTCAATGCAAAGTATGTGCAAATACGGTACATACTGTAGTTTTGTTGTCTTCTAATTGGTCCAGTGTGCAGTTTAATGTCTGCATCTCTTTACAAAGAGATCCAACAGAGTTCATTCTTTTCAAAAGCCTGGGCTCAATACTGGGTCATGTGAGTGCATACACACACACACACACACACACACACGCACACACAGAGGAAAAGGAAACTCTGGCTATC